AGAAGGGAGGGAGGGAGGGAAGAGGACAGACTAATAGGAGTCTGTCGTGAAACATTTACCCAATGATCCAAACCAGTCTCTTTGTCAAGGTGTGGTGTTACCTGTTAAGATGAGAATTATGATCACAGCAAATACGTCAGGGGTCTCAGCCAGCACCCCGGGAGCCTTCAGGGCCATGTGTTTTCGTGAGAACTCCCCGATGGGTTTGCCCAGCAACTCATCAAAGGTCGCACTCCAGGCTCTTGCTACACTTGAAGTACCTGCCACAAAACACACAGTAGTCATTCAAACAGTAAACAGAGTAGCTGTCACCAAGCTTGCCATTTATGGCATCCACAAGGCATTCGCAGATGGCATAAATCCCCCACAGTGGCAGCCAGAGGGAGTGTCAACCAGTTTGGAGTGAGTAAAAAGCAAAGACTCATAGGGCTGGAAGGAAGTGTGTTTTATATCTCAACCCAGTATGTATGATGTCACGTGTTTGAATGTATATTTACCCTGATTCATAAATGTTCAATGTGGGATTTTTCAACTTTAAGGTGATATAAAGCAACATGCATACAATGAAAACTATACTTGAACTCTGAATTTGGGTCTTTTCTGGGGTTAGCAATATTTGGTATGACCCTGTCTCAATGCTGGGCAGCAGTAGGAATCACAGCTCCCAGTCAACCCCAGGATCAGAAGGGTTCACAATCAGGATATGACAAGCAGCTGCTGACTACGCAGTAGAGTTTTTAAAACAGCAGTCTTATGATGGTATAACCCCACTGGAAGCCAAGAAGCATTTGTCTGTGTACTAGAAACCCAGGATATATACATATTTTACAAAAAGTTTCCCTTTCCACCTAAGAGGTACTCTGATACTATTTATTCAATTTTACCTATTTGATTTCATTTAAAAACTAATAAATACTGGTGACAATTCAGAACTGATTCACATGCATTCTGGAGCACAAAGTCAGTCTGGGGAAACTGCTTAGGAAGACACTTTTCCAAAAACCCATGGCAGCAGAGCTTATGGTACCTGTACCCCAAAACTCCTCTCTGAGGAGATCTGCGAGGAGGCTGCCCATCATCTCAGGGACGAAGCCACCACTCATTATCAGAGGAGGCATCAGCCACTCTCCACTTTAGGGAGAGTAAACCTGGGTTCACACCACCTGACCCAGAGGGTCCCAACAGCTCAGGACCATAGTAAAAGCAGCCCCATCTCCACGAACCCCCAGCTCCCATACACGAGGGACACAAGCAGAGGCTTGTACCCCAAATGGCTCCTCTGGCTTCTCTCTCTCTCTCTCTCTCCCCCGCTCCCTCCCTCCCTCCCTCTCATTTTCATTGAATTCTGAAGAGAGCTATTACGTTTCCATTAGCCTTTGTCAGGAAATGTCACTAAAATTCCACTATGTGTATAAAGCATTTTCCTTTATTTTCAAAAGGACTTGCTGGTCCCTATGGCCTGAATTATCCATAGAATTTTTCCAAACTGTTCTGAACAGAAATTTAATTTCATTATTTGTTCTCATGCTAAGTGTTTTTCCAAAACTTAAAAATTTAACCATTTTTTATCTTGAACAGCAATCCATTATAAATTCTTTCCATGAAGGCCATAACCTAATCCAGAAAAACGGCCTCACTGTACCCCCAAATCACCCAACTCATTGTACTAGGGCTCCCAAATAAACCTCAGCCTGTTGGATGCCAGGGGCCATCTAGTCTTCCTTCTCAGCTGATCCCCTTCCCATTTCTGAAACACTGACTTAAAAAATAGCTGGAAAAATTATTCTTCTCAGTAGCTAACACTGAGTATAAATTTCCATAATACATGCATGAATTTTACATAGGAATTAGCATTCTGGAAAAGACTCTTTGTGTGTTGGGTCTAGAAGCAGCAAACATTTCATGCGCAATGTTTTGTTTTATGCCCAGGTAAATCCTATAGAAACAATGGTCCGTTTAGAATAGCCTCATTCCCAAAGAGGGACTTCAGTGTGTGAGAGCCATCTGTGGTTACAAGTTTTGATGTTGCATTAAAAAAATATTATGAATTTTATTTTAGAACCCCAAAGAAGAATCTCCCTTGGCTACAGCTGAGAAAAGAGAACACAAGTTCCGCAAGGTGCCCGGTGAAGTAGAAGTGGGGGCCCTTACTCGAGAGATGAGGCCATAAGGACTTCAGGGTCCCTGTGTCAAATACTCAGAACCACATATGGAGCAGGGGAAGCGCCCAGCATCACACACAAGGTCATCCAAGGGAAGGGAAACTGAAGTGAGCAGGAGCCACATGGCTTTGCGAAGCACATCTCACAGGCTTTGGGGCAACATTAAAGAAACCCTGCTAAAGACCAATCTGAACGTCATCTGTATCTCTACTTCTGTGAAGCAGTCATTCGTATGCATTGCCAATTCTTATATTCAGGTGCTTCTTTCCTGTACAGTGATATGGCCAACTTCGGGTACCATCGCAATACAGAGAACACAAAGAGAATGAAGGAACCAAGTTTTCATGGCACATGTCTTGACTGTATTCCTAGCATTCAAATCTATCCTTTTTGAATGTAGAGGGCAATTTTTTTCCTCACAATAATAGTGAATAAATACTGTATTAAATTGCTATGAAGAAGTTCTTGTTTAATAAAGGGACAAGAGACAGACATGAAGGGACTGAGGAGGGAGAGAGAGCAGAAGAAAGAGGGGGAGACAGGGGGGATCAAGAGAATTTTGACCTACCAAACTGAAATTGGTTCCCTGCTGCATGGCTGTTTTAACACTAATGTCCAGCATTGTGAGGAAAGGGACCCATGCCAGGAGGAAAACTCAGCACTGACCTAGATATTTTGCTTTTTAGGTAGTTTTAAGGGAAAAAAAAATTATGGTCATATCTAAAGACAAAGTCATTAACTGTTTGCAACAATACCAACATACCTGGAAGCAATCTCAACATCTTAAATGTACCCAGTAAATTAGGCTGTTTATAAATTTATATAATGGTGTGTGAGTGTTAGGACTATTACTATGGAAAAATAGCTAATGATAGGAGAATATCATTTCTTGCTTTATAAAGACACACGCTGCACAAAAATATTAACAATAGTTTTACCCTAGACAGTAAACCCTGATGAACTCTTAATAGACTCTCTTGCTTTCCTGTTTTAACCCTAACATCCAGCAAAATGCCTGGCACAGGGCAAGCACTTAATAAATACCATATTTATTGAAAGAATGAATGCATGAAAAATATTCTCTGGGTTGTCGGGTTGGATATTTCTACTTTCTCCTTTGTGCTTTTTATTATATTTCCTAAATTTTTCCGTTGGTGATGTATTTAATAATCAGGAAAAAATACTACACAAATAAGTTACTTTCTAGTTACTTAGAAGCATCCTACTAATTCTGTCTTGAGTTACAGGAATGGACTCCTTGCTGGCCCAGCTTGGTCCCCTTGTGCCACTGCTACAGCAGTACTCACAGGTAGCACAGAACCTTTCCTAAAAGTAAAAGGCAGCACATGAGGCCGTCAAGCTTAGAGGATCCCTGGGGAGCAGGGCCACCCCTGGAGATGGGAATGAACAGGAGGGGGTGAAGGGCTGGCTGGGACCTACCGATGATGTAGGAGAGTATCAGGTTCCAGCCGGTGACGAAGGCCCAGAGTTCGCCCACGGTCACGTAGCTGTACAAGTAGGCTGAGCCTGTCTTGGGGACACGAGCACCAAACTCGCCATAGCACAGGCCAGCCAGCACTGAGGCCAGCGCGGCAATCAGAAAGGAGATGACGATGGCAGGGCCAGCATCCTCACGGGCCACGGCTCCAGCCAGGACGTAGACACCAGCGCCCAGCGTGCTGCCCACCCCGAGGGCCACCAGGTCAAAGGTGTTCAAGCAGCGGGACAGGCGGCTCTCTTCCCTGCTGCAGTCTACCACCTTCCGTCGCAGCATCTGCTGACAAAGGCCACGCAGGACTTTGCACTCCATTGCGGTGGTTGAGTCTGTCAAAAAAGAACAAAAGAACCAGGGTGTTTCATCACTGCCACATGCTTCCCCCATTAACCTCATCACATGCGCTACTGGAAGTTCCCTCCTCACTCCCGAGAAACATGGTCTCATTTAAGAAATCAAGGTCAGCATCAACAGTACAAAGCCATGCTGAGAGTATGATGGGACAATGTTATAGTTTTCATCCAGATGTTCCCCAAGAGCCTCATGTGCTCATAGGTGGGTGGGTTTGAGAAGGTGACTGGATTACCAGGGCTTACTGCTGACTTACTGTTAGGAGATAGGGACTAGTCAGAAGAGAATGGTCACTGGGAATCTAGCCTGGAAAGGCTTATCTCCTTCTCCAGCTCCTCCCTTTTCTCTGTTTCCTGTTGGCTGGCCCCCCTGTGTCATGCTATCCTGCCTTGGAACTAGCAGACTGTGATCTAGAACCTCTATAAACTATGAGCCAAAAATAAACCTCTCCTCTTTTAAGTTGTGGGTACTGGGTATTGTGTCGCAGCAACAAGAATGGCGACTAAGACAGATGTGAAAGGCTTTTGTGTGATCCCTCACTTCCCCCAAACCCATCACCCCAGTCTAATCACAGGAAACTACCAGATAAACCACAGCGGAGGGACATTCTACAAAACACCCATAGATACTTCTCAGACCGGTAGGCCTAATGGATAAGGCATCAGATACTTCTCAAAACCATCATGGCCAACTAAAACAAGGAAAGCCCAAAACTGCTAGAGCCAAGAAGATCTCAAAGTGTGATGACCTAAAGTAATGTGGGATCCTGTCTGAGACCCTGGAATGGAAAAAGGAACTACAGGGGAAAGTTAGGAAATCTGAGTACGGGGTGCACATTAGCTAACAACAATGTATCAACACTGTTTCATCAGTTTTAAAACACAAAAATAACAGGAAACTGGGTGTAAAACATATGGAAATTCTCTATACTATCCTTACCATTTTAATGTAAATTTAAAACCATTATCAGTTTATTTAAAAAATTACCACCTAGCATCTGCAGAGATTAGCTATCATCCTAGCTTTTGGCTACTAAGGTACAAAACAACCCAAATCACTGATTTTTTCAACTTTATCATCAAATTATATCTTGTTGACCTAACTTGGCTATAATTAAGTCACTGATAAATAATCTCAATGGAGCGTGTAGGTCTGGAAAAGTCCATGCCATCCAACCACCTAAGACACTTGACCTGCCCATGCCTTGACACCCACCGGGGCTTCCAGGTCAGGTGCCCTTTGCACTAGTCACATCACTGGCTCCAGGCCTGAAAGGAACTAGGAGTGGTTCTTCCTGTATTTTGTCTAACAGTCTCAGAGAAGAGAAAAATCTCAAGACTTGTAAAATGTTTAGCTACACCAGGGAATCCCCTTGTTATAGATGAGGAAAAGCAACTCAGAGAGCCAAGTGTCAGAGAAGGTCACAAAGCTCTGAAGGCACAGGCAGCTAACTGCTCTCCTAGGGTTCTGGCGGCCCTGCAGGTGGAAAGGAAATGACATATTGGTGTAGCCAGGTGGGGAGGAAATGAGGAATGAGAGTTGTTTATAGAATATTAGCAGGATGGGAAAAATAATAGCCAGAGTCAGAGGACACACATAAGAGAAAAACAAACAGAGGGATCAAAGGATTCCAAATGTGTCTTTTTTTTCAACAATGCACTGACTATTTCTTAAAGCGTTCATGCCAGGAGCAGATTCTGAGGTGTTTCAGTAAGGCAGGCAGTGGTGCCCAAAGAGAAGCAACTCTCCTAAACAGTCAAGACAAGGCTCTGGATGGCACAAAGGAGGACCCTTAAAGTCATTGCTGTACCACAGGGCCTGTAGAAGGTTCCAGAAAGTTCTAGTACTCTCTGAGTGAGTCCAGGGGCTAATTTATTCTGGAACTGCCTTTTCCTTTCTTTTGTTACAGAATTTAACCTGATTTGTGCAAGTCAAATTGTAAATCACAATAAAATGATTGATGAACACTTTCTTGGGTAAGTGTTTCAACATGGAAGAGGCAACACTACAACACAGTTCTCAGTGAAAAAGGCTGTGTCCAGGCGTATATAAAGATGGCTGTAGAGACGGAGGGTAGCTCAGTGGTCGTGTGCTTGCCTAGCACATGCAAGGCCCTGGGTTCAACAGTTGAGCTGTTGTTAATTTGGCTGTAAATGTGACTGCTGGATGGACTAAGAGAGACTCTTGCCTGTTCCCTCTTCTCCTAGATGACATTTCCAATTAATAATGAGTAGATTCTCTCCTCAAAACACTAACAGCCAAGTGCAAGGCAAAGGCAGCACCACTTAATAACATTTGTTTTCTCAAGCTTCACAGAGTAAAGTAACTGATGAGCCCAGAAAGCACAAAGGAGTTGCTCTGCAGTTCCCCTTTCTTTCTGAAAGCATGCTGTTTTCCTAGGCAAGAGCAAAAGCCACACACCAAACTGGGATTCACAGTGAGGGACCTATGAAGCCTGAACTTGCTAAAGGAACAGATTTTTGAGCCTTTTTGGAACAAAATGTGAATGCAATGTTATGAAGTTAGGCCAAAACGACCCACAAAAACATGCATGAATAGGATCTATATGCACACATGTTCCCATGGTATTACCAGCATTGGGCAGTTCCTGCCAGCAAAAAAGTCTCTCAAAGAACTGACTTGCTTGTGTTCGGACAACCTCAGCAGCACCTTCAAGATGGAGGGTATACAATATATTTGGATACAGACACTTGTTTTCAGACAAAATGCAAAAAATGCATTTTTTTCTGTGAGACAACTATGGCTGTACGGATGCAGTTTACTTCTGCACAGGAACAAACTGGCTTGCTGTCTGTAGGTATGACCCAGCTTTGTGCCTCAGTGCAAGGGTTCAGAGCAGGGACCCGGCAGCAGACTAACTTCCCATCATTTTTACCTTGGCTATTTCTAAAGTATCGCTTGCTATGTAGGGAGAGGATGAACTCAACTCCTCCAGGAAGCATTACAACAAAAATATAGCTGGATGCTCTCAGAGATGTAGAGCTGATAGTGGGACAAACATAATGTGTCAAGTTAGGTGTTCTTTCCTAATTTCCACAGTAGAAGAAAATGAGAGACTGACTATACTAGGGGGTCATTTTAGGGAATATCAATTGTGTCTCTTTAGAGTGAATATAAGAGCCTGTTCTCCAAATGGCATTATCTGTCAGCAGTTTGTGCATGTTGTACCACCTTTTATGTGGAGTCTCTCCATGACTCCAGAGGCAGCCACTCAACCATGACTGAGACAGAAGACGAAGCTTTTGTGCATACAATGACTCTAACCATGAAACCCCAGCAATGCCAGGTGGAAACAGATTTCCTGCTGTTACTCTTCACACCAGAAGCTGCCAGGAAACATGATCTGGAAATTAGGTTATCCTGTCTTACAAGCAGGATGATTTGTACACTGGTCGATAATTTTATTTGAGGTTTTGACACGTATCTTGCAACATCCAGAGTCTCACATCCATCTTAGTTCCTGGACATTTATTATTAAAGGACACTTGCCTTAGGCGGTATCCTCTAAGAAGAGCAAAGAAGATCCATCCCTTTCCCAAACAAATTCTAATTCCAAATTTTATTCTAGTAATCATTACATCAAAAGAGGAGTAAAATGACCCAGTGGGTCAGGACTTCATAATATTACTTCAGTAATAGTAAGGAAAGCCTTGCTGGCTGTCCAATAGTAGGAAAAACTGAGAAGAATTTCTAGTAAAAATAAAGAAATAATGTGGCCATTAAAAACCAGCATACAGAGTGGCTCCAGGAGCACGTAGTTAAGGCAACTGGGTCCAGAGGAGGTGTGTGGGTCAAAACAAGACTCAGCTGTCTGTCTCAAAGGCCATTATTTTCATGGGGATTTCTTGACCTCAAGCTACCATAGAAGCTGCAGTGCTGAGACACTTACTAAACTCCATAAGCATCAGGACTGGCACCAGTAGGCACAAGAGCCAGAAGATGGCTACACTGCACAGTGCCCACTGACTTTCCAAGTCTTCCTGACTTAGGTCATCTCAGTCATATCAGAAACCCTACCAATGACCTGTATCTTCTTACTGACTCAACAGGGGTCAACTGCAGAAAGTTCCCATAGATGTTTATGGTTCCAAAACAGCAATGCTTACAGCTCTCCACACCACAATTTTGGCCCTACATCAAAAGCCAAAAATGCATGGAGGAGTGCAGGAGCAGGACCATGGGAACCCAGCACATATCCAGCACTGGAGGACAGCTTCCAGGCATGGTGGGGAATCGATCAGCCAAAGAGCAACTATTCACAGAGGGCCCAATGCAGGAGTGGCAAAGACTACAAGCACAACCTCACCTCTCAGCCAGATTAGAAAACACTCAAGATCAGGGAACACTGTGGCTCCAGAATGATGGTGAACAGTTTCAGTACCCAAAATGCACTTTGCAGATGCCCAAATAAGTAACCATCAGGGTGGAAGCTGGCAATACTGGACCAACGAAAGAACTGAGCTAGACCTTTAACATGGGGATTTATGGCTGGATGGTTACTGATCAACCATTTCCAACCCCTATAATATCACAGGACCATGTCAATGAGCCCCAAATAGCATCCCAGCAAGTGTGTACAGGACATATCTGTGGGTGTAAGGCACTGAAATATTAGCTGAGATTGTCTTTGGATTGCAGGTACTTTTCTTTTTGTCATTTTCTTCTTACCTATATTTGCCATGCTGTTTATAATGAGATGTCACTTTTAAATAATAATGAAGAATAGATGTCATCCTGGAGCACCAGCCAAATGACAGGTCCTCTACACAATTTGTTTTATTTAATCTTCATGCCATCTCATCAAGCAGACACCTTGTGCTCTAGAGATGAAAAGACCCAGGCTTAACTGCACCTCAATGATTCTCAACCCTGCCTGAGGAAATTTATAAAATAACAATGCTGAAACCCACCACAGATCAGGCACTTTCCGAGAAGTTCTCTCAGATGTACATGACCA